TCTTAAGTTTCATTACTGTTTTCTTTTGTTTATTAAATTTACATTCCACCATATGTCTCTAATGAGAGGGGTATGTCTCCGAGCTTTTGACGCGGACAAGTCCCTAATCCAGACGGAAATGAGTCAGGAGATAAAGAAGAAAAAAGAAGTGAAATAAGAAGACTAGTGTTTAGAAAGAGAAGAAAGTTATAATAGAGGAAGATAGCGGAATTGAAAGAAGAGGGCAGAGCGAGTTGATGGAAGGAAGCGAAAACCATGGAAAAATTAATGAGAATAGATAGGAGGCGTAAAGGAGGAAATGAGAAGGGCAGCTAATGAAAAAAAAACGAGCAAACAGAAAAAATGAAAGAAAATAGAAAGAGGAAATGAAGAGAAGAGCAAGGCGATATGGAAAAAGAAGAAGCAATGGAAAGGATAGCAAACCTAGAATAAAAAATGAAAGAAAGGAAATAGAGAAGATAGGGAACAATATAACAATATAAGGAGTACATATGGAGAACGGAAAAGAAAGAAAAAACACAGAGGAGTGGCTGAAAGAAAACCTACAACTAGCAATGAGAGCAATTGAAATATGGGGAAATAAAGTAACAGTCTCCAACGAAATAATTAACATGGGAAAAGAAGAGGGAAAGTCAAAGGAAAGCAGAATACACTGAGATGGCGAGTTGACTGAAGAAACAAGGGCGCAGAGAAAAATTAGATTAACAGTAAAAGAGAGAAGAGAAAGAGGCAGAAACACAGAACAGATGAAAGGGGCAAACCGAAATAAAAATGGAGAGAAGGGTTAATGCCACAACAGGAATTTCTAATTAATTACATAGGTACTAGTAAATGAAAACACAAATAAAAGAATTTAAGGTACGACCATGGATAGAATCGGTTAACCAGCCGATGGAAGTAAGTCCAAAAGGAAGATAAAACGATCAAGAAAATAATGTAAAGATACAAAGATGAATGGAGATACAAATATGCACAAAAGATACTGTGGAGATTTAAACAAAAAAACTAGAGGAATAAAAAGAAGAAATAGCGGCTAGCATGGAGTGATGGAAAAATATGAATGAGAGGACCAAAAAGGAAAGAAAACAGTAAACCAAGGGAAAGGGAAAGATAAAAGATACACGTAGGGTGTACACAAGAGGAAGACGGATACAGAACTATGATGAAAAGAGAAAGAAAGGGAGAGATAGCGGAGAAGACATTCTTGCGCTATGGAAAATTGATCATGATGACCCCTCCTACTGCCCCTTCTTTGACCCGATGCGTGGTTTAACTGCAAAAAAGAGGGGCATGTGGAGAATGTTTGCCCCAAAATCAGCAAACAACAAGTAGACACAGAGAGAGCCTTTGAGGCCTTAAAATGAATGTTTTTACAAAACCTACCAGGCGCACCGGCTAGCAACGGTTTAGTCAAGATGGCCAGCCGGCAGTCATTAAACGATCCGCCCCCTCCTTCCAATAAACGACCGAGATCATAGAGATTCTCACAAGCTGCTTGGTCGACCCTCCAGTGTAGATCAGACAAGACGAAAAAAGCTGACGCAAAGACACTGGTCCTACCTTGTACTATGGAACAAGCAAAGGTCAGGTCACTAAAAGAATTCCCTTGCTTGTTCCAGCAGCTTGAACGCTTCCTAAAGGATGTTCCCTACAATGAAAGAAGCCCTAGCAAAACTAGATGCGGCCGACACGGTAGTGGTGCTCAGAAAGCTATACATTCACCTGGAGACCCGAAGACAAAGGCACGGCTTTACTCGTATCATCCACAGAATAGAAAGAAATCCTCAAATGACCAGAGGGAGTTAAAAGGGTTCATATCTGACTTAAACTGGACGGAAAACTCTTATTGGCCTCCCAGTTTCAATCACGAGAGAAATTCCTGGAAAAATGATCCAGAGGTACATGGACAATTTTTCCACTCGTCTGCGTGAGTGCCTGGAGAAAAACGGGCACCAACTTGACGACATTATTTTATTTATTATATAAATGGCATTACATTCTCCGCGTGTATACTCGCCATGACTGGGAGAAAACTGACCGACACTTCCAAGGTCAAATGAATGACGATAACTGCAACATTTTGTCTATATTGTACCGTTATCTTCGCAACTCTTGGAAAGTGGGTTAAGCTATTGATCAAAGTCCATTCCCCACCGTTCTAAGTCCAAAGGTTTCCGACCGATCAAAATTCATTCGACACTGTTCAAAGTCCAAAGGTTTCCGGTCGGTCAAAGTCCATTCTTCGGAATGCAAAGTCCAAAAGGTCCCGTGAAAGTCCATTCCCCGCTGTTCAAATTCCAAAGGTGGTCGGTCAAAGTCCATTGCTCACCGGTCAAAGCCCGCGCATAGGTAAATGAATGACTTTACCATTACACATTACTGGGTACGATCTTAGGAGAGCGATCTTTAAAATGAGGGCGCATTTTGGTATGGGAGAGGGCATGCGGCGGGGAGCGAGGTGGCATCAATGTATGCGCACATTTTTAAACGAATTTATTTGCACCTTAAGATGCTGTTATTTTAACTGAAAAACTTTACAATGTACCATAATTACACTACCTAAAAATTAAGCTGTTACATGTACGGCCAATTCTACTCCATCATTGACACCCCAGTCATCATTTCTACAGAGCACAATGATAGGAGAGGTGCTGCCTGTAAATGAATTCAGCAGTCACCGATTACGTCATAGCGTCGGGTCCAGCATCCAAGATGACGTGTACCCCCGGGCCAACTACCGAAATACCCCAGGACCAATCTCCGAAATATCCCAAACTACCAAAGCACCCCGAGCCAACTGCCGAAATATAATCCCGAACCCCCGGCCAACTGTCGAAATATGATCCCGCACCCCAGACTAATTGTCAAAATTTGACCTTGCACACTAGACCAGCGCCAAAATATGGCACCCTGAGTTAACTGCCGAAATCCCGCACCCCGGACCAATGGTCGAAATTTGACCCGGGGTAACTGACAAAATTTGATTTTGCACCCCGAGCCGAATGGCAAAATTAGACCCGTGCTAACTTCCGAAATAGTTTTTCAAGGTCCCCAGAAATTTTCTCACGCTGAAGTGTCGCTATACTTACTGACCTTTTTCCTTGTGTATACGAGGAGAGATTATACATGTCTAAGTTTTAGTTTTGATTTGTTTTGAGCTAGCTGAACAGGTGTTGTGGGTGGTGTAGTGACCCCATACCATTGCATACAGCAATACTGAAATGTAAGTTAAGATGGCACTGCTTTTTCTCAAAACCCGCGGGTCAGCTAGTGAAAGTAAAAAAAACATGAGGTACTTTACAGTTGTGATTTACCATACCATAAGGTTAAGTGTCACCAGTGAATAAGTAAGGTGTCACTCAGTTTCTTTAATTGGTTGAACCTTTCTAGTTCTGGACGAAATCATTTGAATCCTTCACTCGCCAATCACGATATTTATGAGAAATTCGTTCTAACCTTTCAAACATACCAAAGTAGTGGTTCGGAAATCTTTAGACATCCGATGAGTGTACAACCTCTACCACTGGCACAGTACGTGACCAAAGATCGGGTACTACATTTTCCTTGCCTTTACGTAAACGTAAACGAAGATCCTAAAGTACCAAACGTCCTTCGGATCTTTAAAGGGATGTAACCATAATAACGAATGATGGTCAGTTATCACAGTACAATTACTTATCAAAGTCGGAGGTGAGAATCAAAATCTTGAGATACGATGACTACGTCGTCCAAGTCAACGATAGATTGCAATTCAGGTCCCAAGAGCAATTTATTACGCGTTGAAAAGTAGATGGCGCATTTGTCAATCCAAACGGCATCCTCCAAAATTGAGAATGACAACGGCCAGGTACTGTAAAAGCCGATTAACGGCGTGAATCCTCCGCAACGTCAATGTCAAGGAAATTAAGATATTTTTCCTCTCTCAATTGATCTAAAACGGTGGAAATATATGGTAATGGAAAAGCGTCTTGTACCGTTAATGAATTACGTTTTCTATTATACTATCGGTAATGCGCCATATCATCTCATTGGGTAGGTGTAAGTACACCCTGTATGTAAAATCACGTCAATTTTATCCTAGGTCATCTTTTTACGATAATAACTCACAATTAAATCAATCTGATCGAAGAAATTTCGAATGCATTTTTAAAGGGGGTGCAATTACTGTCAGCCGTGGGAAAAAAATTATGTTCTCTGCTGAAGGGTGCAATTACTTTACAGGATAATCACCGTGGCGCTATGAATTATTCAAATTCGGCGAATGTCTATATAAGACAGATTCTCAAATTGTCTTATCATTTTTTACCATGCCACTGGGTGAACGAACAGGCGGCCGATTGCCGGTCCCGGTTGGAAAAGATAGTGCCAAATGGCTGTTTTTACCGGCAAAGGTGTACATGGAGTACATAAGCTGTTGGCCGCTAAATCGTACGTTAATAAGCGACTGCGTCTGTGTGTTTTTGTCGATTGTCACCTCCATCGCTACGTTTGGAAACTGCAACATGATACTTAACGCTGGCGGAGAAGTGACCGTAATCGTGATGGGTCTGCTTAATTTAATCACGCTGTTGGAGGTGAGTAGGTTTGGTCACGTGCCGTTTGCGTAATTGCAAATTTAGACTTTGGGCCGAAGAATGATGCTGCTGTTCAGTTCGAAGAAGCTGGGCAAGCTGTTAACTGTGGTCATCGAGGATTTCTGGCCGTCCGATATTGCGGGGGCGGAGACGGACATTAAGGTCAACACACGAAGCGTTTTCCTTTTCAAGGTGTGGGCCTTATACACCTTCGTCGGCACTGTTACTATGCTTCTGCCTGTCCTCATAACATTTCCGATGGGAACGAAGCCGATGGCCACACACTATCCTGACCCGTTGGAAGATAGTCCTTACTTCGAGATCCTGTACGTGATGGAGTCGTACTGTAGCGTCGATCAGCCGTTTATTGTGGCCGCAGTCGACCTTTTTATCTTCGCGATCATCTTCAACTGCTCCGCCCAATTTAATTTGTTATCTGAATACTTTAAAAGGAACATGGAAAGGGTTCAAAAAATCGAAGACGTAAACGAACGAGGGCAGGAAGCTAGAAATCTGATTATCAGTTGCATTAGGCATCACAATGTACTATTAAAGTGAGTGTCTTCTTGCCGGTAAGGGTAACGCCTTTACTTTCGTAAGCTTTGCAGTAGTTGCAAGGAGCTGAACAGCATCATCAAGGATTTTATGTTGTGGCGCATTGTGACCGGATCAGGTGCTATATGCGTAACGGCGTTCATGATAGTAAGCCAAAATACTCATTTGCTCCCCAATACCTATACAAAAGGGATATTTTTAGCGGTTTCAAGTTAACTTATTCCATGGCGCCTGTTACTTCACGGCGATCATGCTGGAGTGCTTTGTCTATGCCTACGTGGGGAACGACGTCGTGTTCGCCGTAAGTAGCTGGCCTACCTAGGTGGATGATAACTAAAGGTGATTCGCCTCAGAGTTCCAATTTTGCGGACGTCGTATTCACTGCGGGATGGCATCTGCTGGACCTGCCCCAAAATGTCGATATCCAAGAGATGTGCCGCTTCATGATTTTTAGAGCGCAAAAATCGGTCAAGATGACCGTTGGGGATTTCGGTCATTTGACGTTAGAGTTCTACATGAAGGTTAGTTAGAAGCGTGTCCACCCATTACGCTAATTCTTCTCTTGCAGATGGTCAAATTTTCTTTTTCTATTTACACCGTTATGGGAAAAAGATATAACAAATAGATGTAGTGAAATGGAAAGTTTATATTGCCCGAAATTGCACCTTTTTTGAGGAGTTCGTTCTAGTGTAGGAAGTTGGCGCAAAAGTTTCTTTGTGGGAATTTGTGTTCTGAATAAAGATCACGCTGTGAGCTGAAACAATTTTCTCTATTAGGGTTCTTTTATACCAATTGAGAACAACACGTTGGAAGGGTAGTAGCTGTTACGTAACGAGATAAAAACCACTATCGCGACTACGTTAATTTGTTCTTAAACTTATCTAATAGTGATTTGATCACACAGATTGCCAAACAAACTATGACCACAGTTATACCTTTATTTCTTACTCTGAGGTTATACCTTTGAATATAAAATTAGGTTATATGCAAAGGTTATACGTAAAGAACAGATTGCTAACTAAATGGAAATTTAGTTAACGCAGCTGTAATGCAAATAAGTATAACGGGTTGCCTACAAATAGGAAAAATTTGAGGAAATTAAATTTGTTTGACGCAATCCCTAATGCAATTTCGAAAACATTCATTTTCTCTGTTAGAGGACAGGGTACAGCGAATGAACGAACCCCCAGTAAGTACCTATCTTCAATAATCTACACATTTCTCCTCTTTATGTTGGTGGATTATGAGCTATGCCTTGGATTATGAAGTACATCAGACACGTTGGATACGCACAAGTGTGCAGATCACTGACCTCTATTTTTATTTAGGGCAGTGATGCAGATACGCAGTATTTCTCTGAACTAAGTACTTTTTAACTATTGATTTGGTGTTGAGTACGCGAATCAAGTGCAAATACTTACTGCACCTTCGATATTCAAACTACGGTACTGATAACTGTTTGTCTTTGTAATAATAAAAACTCAACTTTCCTATGAAAAGGCTTAATTTATTTACACATGAAGATTATTTGTGGTGTATAATTCTTAACTTTGATTTGATATTGAAGAATATGGTCCATTAGCTGCTGAAATAGCAAACACAGAGATATATCAATCTCAAAAAGCCTTATTCGTTCAAAAGTTAGAAAAGATAAATGCGGAAATAAAAAATGTTATCATCTTATCATGATGTTATCATCAAGGGCCATTTTAAGGTTTCCACAGATAGCTGCGGGCCACATCACAAGAAACCTTACATTAAGAAAATTTTGATTTCTTATTATTAACATAAAAAGTATACAAAATAATAATACCTACAATAAAACGAAAAAATAGAAATAATCATAAAATCATTAGTACCAGCTCAAGAAAATGTACACGTGCAGTGTCCTACAGAATCTATCCAACTACGTTTGTTTCTAAGTTACAGGATGAAAACGAAAAGTTTGACATTTTGGGATATATAATATCTTACTACCGATGTAAGATAGAAAAAAGATAAAAAATGCGTATTGTAGATATTTTTACGTAAAATCCAGTGGCGTAGGCAAAAAACAATTTCTGTGATTCGACCCAAACTTGGAATTTTTTTAATGCAACACCCTGTATATTTTAACGTCCATTTTTTGCATTCTTTTTGTGATTACATTAATGTATCATTCTATATTTTTTTATTTCTTATATATTTTATCAAATTTCTTAAAATTTTGAAATGGCATATTTCTACCGTCAGCCATTTTTATTAATTGGTATCGAGTGCCTTAGTTACCGTGGATACAATAAACAAAACAAAATCTCCATGAATTCATGGCATACTATTTAAAAACACTAATAATAAGGTTTTAATTGATTTTCATTACTTAAAAAAATATAGACGGTTGTGAGTGTGATGCATAAATGTAATCAGAAAAAGGACTGCAAACAATTGACGTTAAGATATACAGGGTGTCATATAAAAAAATGTCAACTTTGGGCCTCAGACCCTCAGAAACGCTGGTCCAAAAGTTTTTTTACCTCGCTTCGGCCTCCTCCTCTGAATCTGAGAGATTGTTCTCTTGGATTCCAATTAAGTCTAGATTCCAAAGCTTCCCTACTTCTTCCATACCCAAAAACTTCTGTATATTATCCTGAGCAACCAGAAATGGTCCATCCAAATAATGTCACCACGGCAATTAAGTTATTTTCTAACTTGAGAATTTTTCCAATGATCAGCTTTCCCCAATAATCACTTCCAATCACAATTTCGAATTCAGCTAACGAGAACGTGGCATCAGGTACTGCTATCCCTTTTTGCTTTTAACTCCTCAAAAATATGGACTGGAACCTTTGATCAGTAGGTATACTGTGCAAATGAACTTTTTCATAATTTGTAACTGTCCTATCAAATAGAATATTCCTGATGACCTCTTCATCCATAGGTTTACTCTTAATAACTTGAATAGTTCTTTTATTTATGAAGCTTTTCTAACAGCCATCAGCAAAAAGAATTCGAGCTAACACTGATGTTCCTCTTGTTCCAAATTGCACCTTCACAACTATTGACTTCATTACTGCAAACAACATTCGATCCACTGGTTCGAGTTGCTTCAATATCTTCAGTTGATGAACACTGATCACAAATCAAATTTTTGAGAAGAGTCTGTGTTAATGGGTAACGCGAGCGCTATTAATTGTTGCGTAATCATGCCAGGGGGTCTCAGTGTTATTTGGAATCGCGTAAAAATCGAGAAAGAATCATATTAAGAGTTAGCTGTATTTTCTAAAAAATTAATGTTGCGAAATCAGAGACGAATCCACACTCTTCAAATAAATAGGTATCAGTTCTACAATTGTCTTTGTGACAATCTGCAAAATTAAGAGCTAAAAATAAAAAAAGTGTTGAAAAATTCCTCCGTTAGATGTCACATCCTGTCGTTATCACTCTTTGAAATCCCTTCGATTTAGCAAAATCAGAAACAAGAGACGAATCTGCCCTTCAAAATGTCATGTTAAAATACGAAACATGTCGTCAAATACTAATTTTGCAGTCGTTATAGTCGTGACCTTGGTGCAGGGTAGTTCCTGATAAGTGACCTTGTTTTATGGTGGAAGGTCGTGCCCTGCGATTTCCCGCCAAAAAACTCGTAGCCTTGGTGAGGGGATTTTCCGTTCGAAGGCTAAAAAATCACTATGGGTGCTGTCGCACTCGTGCTCTTTCCTAATAATGTTGATTGCAAATTCTTTCTAGGAGGTAATGACTAAGTTCTCTTGAATCATTACAACTAGTAGTAGACGTACAATATCGAACCTGTTCGGGTCGCTCTTCATGTTGCGGTGAAAGTAGGCCAAGGTGATGATCAAGGGCATTCGCCTTCAAGGTGATCGGAGGTCAATGGCCCCCCTTTTTGTGTTGTCATATTTCAGCTTGAAGTTTACCATTTCTTTGTCACTTATTTTAAAGGTCATCAAAGTTCAATGACCTCATATTTATATATCAACCCTTTCAGACTCAAAGCGGGCACATATTGAGATGACATGTCGGGAAAAACATGCTCCTACCCTTCCGATAGACGAGGTCAAAAGAATATTGCTGAAGACGAAGCTTCCAACGACCGAACCTCACAGATGGTTCCGGTTATTCAGGTAGTAGCGAGACCAATGATCAGTAATGAGTTGACCTTAAAATGGCTGCCCTCAATATACGGTCTGAACTTCTCAATACTGCAAAGGGCTGCCAGACACTCACGTTCCGTCGTAGAATATTTACGCTCTTGTTTGGTGAGGGATCGAGATAAGTAATAAATAACTTTTTTCCCTTCTTCTGACTTAGCACTGCCCCTGTGCCAGACGCACTAGCATCCGTTTGAATATCGAGGGACTAAATGAAGAATTTTTCAATGTTTAACTATATTTTGTGTCCCACGGTTGACGCTGCCGTAGCGCAAAACCGAATGCCTTCAAAAATCTGCTCCGGATAAATCCCTACATATTTTTTTATTAACTGACATCCCAAAATTGTGCTTTATTAACGAAATCGACCATTTTTAATCATAAATTAACCCTTGCGTCCCAAGCGGTGTAACTGAGTTACCCCAACGGTCTTTTTTAGCATAATTTCGTCAAAGTTTTATTTTCACGTACGATGCTTTAGCTAATCCTTAAATTACTTAGCCGGGCAGATTTACGTTTACATATTTTACATTTAGACTTGTTGTAATGTGGACATGACAAAATCAAAACAGCCGCCAGACCACTCTTAAGTTGGTTAACTGCGCCTCAGTTCGATTTTCCGTCCGATCGTGAGTGGTTGGATTATAGGCGAAAAATTCGATGCGGCTCCTATTAAAGCGCCAACCTCGCGAACCTTGTGGCGGAAATCTGCTCCAGATGGACTTGGAGACCATATTCATTGACGACATACCCTAAGTACTTTGGCTCACTTCAACAAAATCTAGCATCCCGTAGACCATCTAAGATGTTCGAAACAGATGGCAAAGGATAAGCCACGCCCCTAATAACTGACGAAAGTCGACACAGAATCTCCATGACCCATTCTTTTTTTGACCATCACAATCGGGCTACCGCAAGAGTCCAGAACTCAACTCCCGGTATTCAAAATTGACCCAAAGTTGGCACAAGTAACAAATCGGTAATCTTGGGACTCGAAGAACTCCCACACACTCGCATAACTGGCCATTTGCAAAAGTAATATTTCGGAATTCGGACTTCAATAAAAATTTTAAAAAAATGTCTATGTAACGTTCTTCTTTGCAAGTTTGTGACCTTCCCACTCTCTCTCGTCAAACTCAAATCGGCATATTATTGAAATGCACACTTTTCAACACGTAGTCAACCCACCTTACTTTAATCTGACGCGCTCGAGTAAATCTCAAAATCCCCTATTGGGACAGTTATAGCTGTTACGATTTGGGGAAGGAGAATTACACATTCTTTCGCATAGTTCCAAATGGTAGGTACATTGTAGTGTTTTGGCAATTTGAGCAAATTTTAACTTCAGTTTCTGTACTTGTAAACAGAAGTCGTTTATCTACTATTTAATGCAAACGCAAATGGGCCTTCACCTTAACCTTCTGTTTGTACACTTTTTAAGTCGACATAGCAATAAAATATCGATATCGAAGATATGTAGACAATAGGTACAATGCAATCCGGGTAGGTTTATAATT